AATAGAAAATATGTTAGAAGCGCAAAATCAAATTAATCAAGACTTAAAATCAGTTGTTACATATTCTAATGATCATCTCCTTACTATCAATGGAAAAAAATCATGCGCAATAGTCTTTGGCAATGAGCAACAGAAAGCGAAAGCTATAATTCATTTCAAAATTAAATTAGATGAAAATACGTTACAATTTAGTGACAACTGCAAAAATTTAGGTGTAGTTTTCGATTCCAAATTGAGATTTAAAAAACATGTAAGTGAGAAAATAAAAAGAGCATACTCTTCCCTAAAAATGATATATCAACATAGACATAGTTTACCTTATTCTATTAAAATATCACTATGTGACTCTCTAGTTCTTTCGCACTTTAACCATGCGGATGTAGTCTTCTCACCATGCATTGACAGCAATGATTTGGGTCGAATACAAAAAGTACAAAATTCCTGTATGCGTATGATCTTCGGTATCAAGAGGCCGCATTCTATATCTTACAAATTAAAGGAAATAGGATGGTTAAGCATGTATAATCGAAGGATTCTGCACTCACTCTGTCTATTTCATAAAATTTTAAAATTTAAAACCCCATCATATCTTTATGAGAAAATCACCTATAGAACAGATGTTCACAATCTTCAACTTAGAACTAAAAATACACTTAATATACCTAAACACTATAAGGAAATGTACAAAAGATCGTTCTCGTATCAAATATCTCACTTCGGCCACCTATTTGGTGAAACTGATTTTAAAAAGAAACATAAAAAAAGATTATTTAATAAACAACACTAAAAAATGTTCATCTTACTGGTTTAACTTTTGCTGTATCCCTTTCTGGCGAAAATGTTATACGTTTTTATTTTTTGTTCTTTATTGATTGTTATTATAATTTTCTGCAAATATTTTTAAAATATAATTTTTTTTTTATATTAAAAAATCTTTGCAATATAATTACCCTTTCAGTTGTATATAAATATAATGCACTAGGTAGGTACTTAATGTCTAGTATTTGTCACTTTTATTTATTTATTTATTTATTTATTATATTTATTTTTTCTCTTCCTCTTTAATTACATTAGGACATGGGTATAGGAATATAATTATATTTAATTTTGAATTTGTAGGTTATAGTGGAAGAATTGGTCTGCAGACCTAACTATAACCTTTTATTTATCATCATTAATTGTTATAAAATTTTGTATTCCACATTTGTTTTATATGATAAATAATAAACTATTATTATTATTATTATTATTAATTCCAATTACTGGTCCCCAACAAATCCCCACTGGGTAAGAGAAACAAGGTTTCAAAATATATCTATAAATTGACACATTTTAACAACTTATAACTCGAAAACGGAAAAAGATATCGAGATACAGTTTTCACTAGACCTTTTACATTTACTTCAAGTTTTTCTTGACATTGTTGTCACATGTAATTTTTTTCTGGAAAGTGCCGAAAAAAAAAAACGAACTTTTTTGAATCAAAATTGTGAGCTTATTTTAAATAGAACACCCTATAATTTTTAACATCCTCGGAAAGACCATTTCTTTCCCTTTCCAAAAATGTATTCATTGTAAGCATTTATTCAATTTTTTTGGGAAAAATTTACTTTTTTATGAAACCATGTCGATAACTTCTAAACTTAAAGTATCACAATTTAAAAGCCTTTAACTCGATAATGTGACAATTTATTGATAAGGGGTTTTGACTAAAATTCTGGGAAATGTTTAATTTTTTTATAAAATGGTTGTAAAGTCTCAAATGTCTAAAATTTTCGTAAAAGATTACTTTTACCAATTCAGATTAAGGGCTTATGATAAATAAAATTCTTCGTATTTGTAAGCCTTTATCCATAAATCATCATTTAAAAGAATGTCTTAAGCGTTTTCAATATGTACCTATATCTGTTTTTTTTTTGTCTATTTAATATTCCTCTTTTTGTAAATTAACTTACTCAGCTTTGGATAGAATATGAATGAGTCTACTACTAATTTATCAATGGTGCTATGTAAAACAAATCGAGTTGACAGAAGTCTATATTTGTATTAATTAGTGCAAGAGAAAGCAGGTATTAAAAAATGTTTACCAAAAGTGAAAAAGCCCGGTGCGTTTTACTTTATATTGAAAGTAGATCAATTACACATACACAAAGAAGATTTAGAAATATGTTTGAAAAAAATTCGCCAACCAGAAATTCTATTCTGGGTAAGTCAGTTTAAAGAAACGGAAACATTAGATAAAAAAAAAGACAAATTGAAAACGCTCAAGATATTATTTTAAATGATGTTATACAGATAAGGGAAATTTTAGCAAGAAACAATAATAAAATATCTATTAGAAAAATTGTCCAATCCATACATATGTCAAAGAGTAAAGTGCATAAAATTTTAAAAGTAATCAAGTTTAAAGCATATAAGGTCAGACTTTTCATAAAATTGAAAATCATGCATTTGAAAAGAGAGTTTTTATGTGTGAGACGTTATTAGATTTATTTAGACATCAACCAAATGTAAATCTAATAATGTCAGATGAAGCAACATTTCATTTAAGTGGACGCGTAAACAAACACAATTGTAGGATTTGGGGTGACGAAAATCCTAGAGCTTTCAACGAGTTTGAAAGAGATGCTCCCAAGGTAAATGTATGGTGTGGTGTGTCCAAAACCAAAATTTATGGAAACAGTATATGGAAACAATTACACGGATGTGCTAGAATTATTCTTTTATCCTCAACTAGAACAAGAAGAAATACTAAATACTGTATATTTTCAGCAAAATGGTGCTCCACCGCATTACTCTCTTGTAGCCAGGAATTCTTTGAACTCAACCTTTGGAGATAAATGGATAGGTCGGGCTGGTCCCATCGAATGGGCTCCATATTCTCCGGATTTAACTATACCAGATTTTTTTATATGGGGGTATGTTAAGGAGAGATGCTACGATCCAACACCTACAAACTTAACTGAACTGAGGAATAATATAATTCATGTGTTTAATACAATTACCCCAGAAATGCTGCAAAATGCATTTACAAATTTTTTAATGCGTCTGCATACATGTATTGAACAAAATGGAGGCCATATTCAACAATTAATTTATTAATGTTTTAGTACATATTTTTTGTATTCAAAAAAATTCAGATAGGTACCAACAAAAATCCGTGTGGTATGAGGTGCTCTTCTCTGTCTTTATAAGTAAAATATCATTACTTGATATTATTCTGAAATTTATACCTAAGGGACAAGGCAATGAAAAACAGTATCTTATCAATGATCGTTCGATGTAAAACGTCAATTTATATTTCGATATGTGACACCAAAACGTAATAGACACCGTTAACATTGATTTAATTACCTAAAATTAAAACCTATTAAAGCAATAAAAAAATTATAAAAAATTGACTTTTTTTAAAAGGCGAAGAAATAAACTATCTAATGACTATAAGAGATACGAAATGTTTCATTCGCCATAAGACTTTAATCTGAATTTAATTTTTTTTTACGAAAACTTTACATGTTTAAGATTTGGCAACTATGTCAGAAAAAAACTTAAACATTTCCAAGAATTTTGGTGAAAACCTTTTATCAATACATTGCCTTACTCCCAAATTATAACTCAATTAATTGTGATACTTTACGTTTGGAAGTTATTGACATGGTTGCATAAAAAAGTGAATGTTTCCCTAAAAAATAAAGTAAATGCTTACAATGTATACATTTTTGGAAAGGGGAAGAAATTGTCTTTCCGAGGATGTTAAAAATTATAGGGTGTTCTATTTAAAATAAACTCACAATTTTGGTTCAAAAAAGTTCGTTTTTTTTTTCGGCACTTTCCAGAAAAAAATTACATGTGGCAACAATGTCAAGAAAAACTTGAAGTAAATGTAGAAGGTCTAGTGAAAACTGCATCTCGATATCTTTTTTAATTCTCGAGTTATAAGTTGTTAAAATGTGTCAATTTATAGATGGACATAAACATATAGTGTGGTTTGTTCAATGGTAGGATTATAGGTTCTCATTTTTATGAAAACACTCTAACGGGAATAGGATATTGTGATTTTTTAATCAATACCGTTCTTGATTTGTTGGAAAGTGTTCCTCTTAATCAAAGACGTGATACGTGGTGGCAGCAAGATGGTGCACCAGCTCATAATGCACAAATTGTGAGCCAATATTTGGCAAACACTTATATCAACGCATTTTCCAATTATCCAGTGACCGGCTATGTCACCTGATTTGTCGGCTCTTGATTTTTTTCTGGGGTACTATAAAGGACGTAGTAAACGAAATAAAATTAGAGGACTTAGAAGATTTAAAAAATAGAATCAGACACGCTTGTAACAGATTTACACCGGCCATGATTCGAGCTGTCTGTACTAGAAATTTATTGTTGTTTGACAAATGTGTGGAAGTGGGAGGTGGGCTCTTATTATAAGTTATTACTACTCTCTGTTTATTGACATTTATTTCTTGTCTTCTCCTTCTTTTGTTTCAATGTATTTTTTTAATTATGTGTCACCTAATAAAGTATTTTTTATCACCAACTTGACATACAGTTTTATTTAATTTCTTACTTATTTATGGAGCGATTTCAAAATGTTTAAAACAGTTGTACAGAGAAAAGTAGCGACTACAAAAATGAGCAGAAAAAAAATTAGGGTGTCGTTAATAATTTTTGAGGGGGTTGTTCCAGGGGGGTAGTTTTTGAGGGTGTGTCGTCAAATTTGTATTTGTTTCAAAGTACACCGCCAATTATAATAAATGACTTTTGTCCGGTTTGATTATCTTGCATGGTTTAGAAGTTATAGCTTGGGTAAAACAATTTGGGACACCCTGTATATACAAGATTAAAGGCCAAAATATTATTTTTACGTGAGCAAACTTAAAAGGCAAAGATCCCAAATATTTTTACACAGGCAAGCTTAAGGGGTAAAAGGCCAAATATTTTTGCATGTTCAGCCGTACTTTGCAAATTAGTCAAATAATTAAATAAACTTAAGGGTTAAAGGATGCAAATAGTTTTATATGGGTAAGCTTGAGGAGTAAAGAGTCTAAATGTTTTTACATAACAGGCTTAAGGGGTAAATGATTTAAATATTTTTACAAAGACCGCTGTAAGTGGTAAATGAGCCTCATATTTTGATGTGGGAGGCTTAATGGATACAGGAGCCAAATATTTGTACATGTGTAAATATGCCAAATAATATTACATGTAAGGGTTAAAAGGACCAAATAATTTTATACACACAAACTTAAGAGGAGAAGGGCCTAAATATATTTACATGAGTAGGCTTAAAAGACAAAAGGCAGCCTTAAGGAGCAAAAGTGCTATATTTTTGTACACGGATTAAGGATTAAAGTGACCAAATAAGTATAAGTAAATTATTCAAACAGGTCTAGTAATGTAAAAACACGAAAATTCAACGTCTTAATAATTATCATCGTATGTCTGTATTTCATTAAAAATCAAATCGTTTCTCCTTTCTTTTATGCTACGAGTTTGCCCGTGGTGGGACGCCTCAGTCTTGATAAAGTAGGAACCACCAATTTAGCGTCTTTCGAAAATATTTGTTTTATGGAAATGTATAACCTATTAAAAAAAATAAATCACTTTATAAACGTCAATGAATCCAATAAAGGTCTACACGACGAATAGTAATACATCCAGTATATTAACTGAATATAAACAGGTTTTTGTATTTGCATAACAAATGTATGGCTTAAATTTCATATAATGAATGCACTCATTTTAATAATAGCATTATAAAATCTTTAATATGTAAATAAAGTGTAATTTAAATGTTTTCAATAATTTCTTGAATTTCAACAATACTTTTTCCTCTAGTTTCCGGTATAAATCGGTAAATAAAATAAGATCCAATGAAGCAGCAAAAACTGAAAAACCAAACACAGCAATATATCCCAAATTCGGCGACAATGATTGGAAACAAAAAATTAAGTAAGAAAATAGTAATTTGGCTTAAAGTTACTACGAAAGACATACCTATAGCTCTAGTATGCCCTGGAAACAATTCAGTTACAACAGCCAAAGAAATAGGACCCATACCTATTGAATACATTATCAAATTGCATATTAGACATAATATCGGTAACCACATTACTTTATCTATATAAATCCAATTGAAATGTTTCCAATAAAAAAATAGACCCATGAAAAATAGTGCAATTCCAGAACCAAACGTAGACATAATTAACAGCGGTCTTCTTCCAAATCGCTCAACTTTCATAGCTGTAGTTAAAATTATTGTCATTTTAATTATTCCTGCTATTATTGAAATAGTATTGCCCGATAGATATGTATCAGCTTCATTGAAAATAGGAGCTAGAAATTGCATAATAACAGTAACTCCAGACAAATGTTGCACCACAATAGGAATCAGAGCTAGGAACAGCGTTTTTCTGGAAACTCTATGTCGAAATAGTGTACCTAATCCTACCCTTTCTTCAGTAAGCTTTACTTTTATAGATTTATGTATTTTTTCACATTCTTTTTCTATCTCTTGAGGACTTTTGTTTTTTCTGAGCTTTTCTAAAGCTTGCATAGCTAATGTTAATTTACCTTTAGAGGCTAGGTAAACAGGTGACTCTGGTGCAAATAATGAAAAAATTATTAAAAAGGGTATTATTGGCAATCCGCACAAGAAAGTTAAAAGTTGTACACTCGATACTAATGATCCAAAAACGTAAGTGTATAAATTTCCGATGGGCATAGCTAGTCCCATTAAGCTACCAAATTTAGCTCTGTTGTGGTCTTCGCAAATCTCAAGAAGATACATTGGCACTAATACTAAACATGCTGAAAACATTACAAAAATTATACACCTAGCGAAAATGTAAACGTATACATCGCTACTTAAAGCAATTATTATATTGCTAATTAGTATTAGCACAGCTACGTATAACATGGTTCTTTTTCTTCCTATAATATCACTTAACTTTCCTACGAATATAGATCCGAGTAAACCCACTAAATATGGGAATCCTGCTAGCAATGATGTCTCTATTGTAGTTACAGGCCGACTTAATGGATTGATGTCTGTATCATTTGATTGAAGTTTGGGTACCACTGGACTTAACCAAACGAGATGGCAGGAGCCTCCAACCACCACTATTATAGCTGAAAACAAATTTATGTATAACATGTTATGTAAAAATTAGCTTAACTAAAAACTAAGTAATACGTTTTAGCCAGTCTTGAGTAGGCTCGCCTGTACCTCTTTCGGCCATATACTCGTATGCCCATAATGTATTTAGCGAAACGTGCATTAATTTGCTTAATCTTAGTGAGTTAATACCTATTTTTCAAAATTAATTATTAAAAAATACTAAATGGTTCATACAGTTTTTAAAATTCACACAAATAGTCTTCGAAATCCTACTCTGTCTTTACTAATAATATCTAAGAGATTTCAGTGCATAAGAGTCGGTCTTTTCATCTTTGGTCTTTTCACTTTTAGATAACTAACTAACGGATACATTATCCTATTTGACAGAAAATTAAGTTTTTGTCTTTTCAAGAGAAATAATCTGAAAAGTAGTTATTCGGTACTTTTAACGTTTTATAGTTGTATTTATGCCGATCAAAATATGGCGCGCTGGAATTACAGCCTATTCTTAATACCAGTTTATTAACCAAGTGAATTAAATTAGAGTTATGCTATTATCATGGAGGTAGAAGGTAGGGAGACGCTATCACGTGGTCCAAGACGGGTTCACTTCCGCCATATTGTGTTGACAAATCCTTCAAACAGCTAATCATGGTTTCAATCAACGTTTCTATTTTTATGTCGTTTGCAAACTAAATATATTGTACATAGATATTAAAAGTTAAACATTGGTTGCTTGTGCTCAACGTATTTTTAGCAACCTAATAGATATTTATATGAAAAAATTATCTGAACTAACATTCCACAACTAAATATACAACATAGTAAACAATGTGCAGGGCCGTATTAATATTAATTGTGCTTTGAGTGTTTTAACCATATTAGGATTTTGTAAAGATAAATTAAAAATGGGAGAATCAAATATTCTCTTTGTTATCTTAAATTCTAGAAATTTACTTCAGTTTCATTATAAAAAGCATTTGTCTTTAAAAAAATTATGAAGGTACTTATAAACTTTTTTAAATGACATGGATAAGTATATTAGTGCCTAAAAAAGACGTAATTTACAACACCGACTTGCATTTACAGTTTTTACCAATATGCCAAATATCTCAAGACCATTTTATTCGCTTACTTGGAGGCTACAACAATAACTTCACCGGCCAGCAATTTCTGGGGGGCTATTTTTAAACTCGAGAGAAAGTGATTTCTCTCAAGATTTTCATGCGAAATGTCATACGTCATCGTAAAAACAGTATTTTTACAGCCAGTGAAAACTCGCAGACTGTTTCTTTTGGTTTATTTCGAGAGGATTAAAATTCTCCCAAGAATTTGAATTTTCAATGGCTTTAAAAATACTGTTTTTACGTTGACATATGGCATTTCACATGAAAATCTTGAGAGAAATGAGTACTTTCAAGTTTGAAAATAAGTCCGTAACTTACAAATTTTATTGGTAGGTACATGTTTAAGTTTTCGTGGAAATTATATTCCTCTAGAAAGGCTTCGAATTTTAAAATGTCCTCTTCGTCAAATCAACGAATCGGCAAGAGACTATAGAGCTCTTGGCTTCTCAGAGAGTTACGATAGTGTGCTAGACGTTACTGATCAAATTATTTACTAAATTCCACGACATCGGGATTTACAAAATATATTGTTATACATATATTTTAAGTGGCCATATTTTGAAAAGTAGAAAGCGGAACAAATCGTAAACAAGGATATATTTCTACGAATTCTCTTTGCAGTAGTGACGGTTTGGTTCATTTAAGAAATTAAAAAAAATTAAAATATTTTTTTTCGTTATACAAAAGTGGGACACATGTCCGATTTCAATGATTTTTTACTTTCCTATCTGTATACAGATATTTACTTTCCTATCTGTATACAGATATAAGGAAAGTATAGGAATCATGATTTTTTTCGACCTCGAGTTTTCGACGGATTTTTACGTTTTGAGGTCCCCTGAATCCGTTTTGACTATTTTCGCGATGATGTGTGTGTGTGCGTGTGCGTGTGCGTGTGCGTGTGCGTGTGGGTGTGCGTGTGCGTGTGCGTGTGCGTGTGCGTGTGCGTGTGCGTGTGCGTGTGCGTGTGCGTGTGCTTGTGCGTGTGCGTGTGCGTGTGTCGCATAACTCATGAACCGATACACAGAAAAACACGAAATTTTAAACTTAAGCTTTGTTTCAGCGTCCAATGAACTGATTAGATTTTGGGCAGAGTCGGAACATCTGGGGGGGTACTTTATAGGTGGTCATTTTTATATTTTATGGAATATATTACATTTTGAGAAGAAAATTCTTCAAATAAAAGTTACTCCTAATATTATTATCTATAATTTTTGTTATACACAAAATTTTCCTAAAATGGTCCCTATTCGAGAAGTTTGACAAAATGTAAAAAAAAATATTTTTTTATAAAAATTGTTCAAATAAAATTTGTTTGTAATATAATTCTTCATTATTTTTATCCTATACATAATTTCTCTAAAATGGACCGTATCCGAGATATTTGAAAAAATTTCTAATTTTGAAGAAAACTCAAAAACGGATAAAGAAAAAAACATTAAATTTTAAACTTAAGTTTTATTTCGGCTTGACGTAAAATGATTAGATTTTGGACAAAGTCGGAACATCTGGGGGGGTACTTTATGGGAGGCCGTTTTTATATTTTATGGGAGGCCGTTTTTATATTTTATGGAATATATCTGTTATTTATGTTTGGAGAAGAAAATTGTTTAAATAAAAGTTACTTCTAATATTATTATCTATAATTTTTGTTTTATGTCAAAATTTCCTGAAATGGTCCGTATTCGAGAAATTTGACAAAATGTGCAAAATTCTGATTTTTATGAAAATTGTTGAACTAAAAGTGGTTTGCGATATCGATCTCCATAATTTTTGTTTATACATAATTTTTCTAAAATGGACCGTAATGGAAAAATTGTAGGAAAAGTGCTAAATTTAAATTTTTCAGTATTTTCGTTTTCAATGAATATCTATAGAAAAATGTTTCGAGGTAGAAGTATGTGGAAAATGTATATATTTAGTTTATCCTCTAAACATTTATAGAGGTGCTGCAATAGGTTGTACAAAATAACCGGAAAAAGACTATAATAACTAGATAGGAAAGTCATGTGTTGTTAGGGGGTACTTCATGGTCAAAATCTAATAATTGGGTCCATTAGAAAATCCTCAAACTCTTCATTTTTAATGTATGTTTAGCGATAATTCTTTACCACCTTGTCCCGATTTCTTTGATTTTTTTTTGTTAGTAATGGGGTACCTCAGGGGTGGTCCCATATAAATTTGGTTAAGATGTGGTGACGGCATCTGCACGATTTTGAAGTCGATTTTTTAAAATTACTTTTAATTGCTGCTCTCCCCCGAACTTATTTTCAAAAGTACCGCTCAGAAAAAATCATGAACGTTGAGAATAATGTGTAGATTGAACGATAATTGTTTATATTAAGATTAAGTTTTGGGGAGAGGGTGAGTTGAAAATAAAAAAAAATATTCTGATACTTTATGGGGTATCTAATGAAAGCCCTATGAAGTACAATTTCAAAAATCTATAGTACCTTCTATTGCGTTATTTTTTCTTGTATTTTTTTTTTTCAAAAAAAGGCTTAAAAATTCCTTCTCTCCTCCGAACTGATGCTCTCTCCCAAACTTAGCTCCAAATGAACCGCTCAGAAAAAATCATGAACATTGAGAATAATGTGTAGATTAAACGACAATTGTTTCTCTTGGGATTCTGTATTGTGGAGGGGGTAAATTGAAAATTAAAAAAAAATGTTTTTGATACTCTATGGGGTATCTAATAAAAGCTCTTTAAACCCTATTTAAAAAATGTATATAACGTTCGATTGCGTTACTTTTTCTTAAATAGGTACTTTTTAAAAAAATTCCTAAAAATTGCTGCTCTCCCCCGAACTTATCTTCAAAAGTACAGCTCGGAAAAAATCATGAACGTTGAGACTAATGTGTAGACTGAACGACAATTGTTTATGTTAAGATTGAGTTTTGGGGAGAGGGTGAATTGGAAATAAAAAAAATATTCTGATACTTTATGGGGATCTAATGAAAGCTCTTTGAAATACAATTTCAAAAATTTATAATACCTTCGATTGCTTTACTTTTCTTTAACTTTTTTTTTCGAAAATAAAAGCGCTTAAAAATTGCTGCCCTTCGTAACTCATCTCCAAAAGTACCGCTTAGAAAACTCAGAAAAAAATCATGAACGTTGAGAATAATGTGTAGATTGTTTATTTTGGGATTCAGTTTTGGGGAGAGGGTAAATTGGAAGTTAAAAATATATATATTCTGATACTTTAAGGGGTATCTAATAGCACGATTTCAAAATTGTATAATACCTTTGATTGCGTTACTTTTTTTAACATTTTTTTCGAAAAACGCTTAAAAATTACGGTTCAAAATTTTTCTCCAAAAGTAACATTCAGAAAAATCTGGGTTTTTTTGTTCACTGTACTGTAATACTTTATTTCAGCGCGTACCTTCTAAATCTAACAACGTAATTATTATCAACACTACTTATTTTAAAACAACTACGGTACGTAACACTATTGCGCGCAAGTGCTACTTGTAATTTGACCATTTTTTTTAATAGTGAATTGTATTATTTAATGCCATTTATATTTGTATAAAAGAAGCAATAAAATAAATCAATAAAAACAATGAATTTTTAAAATTCAATTTACCTGTAAATGCAGTAAAATAAAGAAACAGAGTATCTGATTTCGGTTTAACTCCTTCATTATTATTTTGTTCACTTAAATTTTCAGTTGTAGTTTGTTGCACTAATTTGTCTAAAGTCTGATTTTCGCAGTCGACCATTTTCAATAAAATCTTACACGAAACTGGTTGAGAACATTTAAGTTTATATATCATAAATATCATTTAATTTTATTATGCAGAAAATATACATTTCCATAATAACAGTGTCGCTCTATAACATTTTATACGAGTACATTAAATTAAATATTTCGTTTAGTATTCTTTTATTTGGAATAGAAAGTGATTTTGTGGCAATACGAGGGATATCCTCAATTTTTGGCCGTTTCTAAAAGATGTGCCTAATGATACAAATCCAAAAACATTAATTTCAAATAGTAGTGGACCAACAAACAAATTTGTTTTATAGCACATGCCAACACATTCTAAAGTCAGCTATATATGAGGTTAAATTACCACTAAAACACTTAGAAAAATTTTGTCCACAAATCGTTCATTTAGATTCGCTTGTGATGGACAGACAGAGTGATAGACAGACACTGAGATGATTCCATAAGTAGAAACAATGAGTGATCTGTGACTGTTCTTAACAAAGGAGGGATCTTTTGTTTTATTACGATTGGAACCCGAAAGGGGAGTATTAGGCAGGGTGGGAGGGTCATTCCGTATCAGCTGCCACTGAATTAAATTAAAAATACAATAAACGTTTCCTGACTTATGATTAATATAAAACTGCCTGAATAATATCATTTTATAAATTTTTAGTCATGTGTGCAAATTTAAGAAACTAATTTAATTTACAAATGGATAAACCTTAAAAGTTTTAACAACCATTTCGCTTCTTTCCAACAACGACGTACTACCTACTAGACTAATCCTTTTATTCATGAGTATTTGTTAACTTGCAAGTATTCAATCAGTGTTTCATGTTTGCATTTGTAAACATGGAGAAAGACAATGCCGTTGAACGAGAGAGAGGGCTATCGCTTCAGCTGTCGCATTAAAGAGCGGAACGCTTTACTAAATTAGACTGTCCAGACCACGTGACCCTGGCCCTTTAAAAATGGGAACATGTAGACATACAAACATTCGATTTACATTGAAGAAGATAGGATTATTGGTATATTGTTATGTTAAAAAGTGAATATTTCATTGATTGTAATATTTGTTTTGTTTTAATATGTTGAAAGCCATCTATAAACATTATTAGTTAGCTGAATTTCCTTTATCATTTGAAATTATTTTTAAATATTTATCAGGTTTTGCATTAATTTTTGTGTTACAAGATTATTTTACCTATATGAAATTTTACCTATTGTTTTTAATTTTTTATTGTAAATTTAATAATTTTCACAATTTGTCACACATGTGAATTAAAATTCTTAATATATTTTTTTAAATATCTTTTTTATTGGCAAATAAAACAAGTGAACGAAAATTTTTATTTTTTAAGATCATTTTCATCACAATACATAACATTATACAGATAAAAACAATACATAATAGACTAAAAAATAGGTACAATGAAAGAATGATAAAGTCAAAGATTTGAAAATTATCTAATACGGCATTATCAGTACCTTTGAGGTAAACTGCAGTATGTCATTCTAGTCAACTTTTCAGTAGAGCAGACTGAATGTTTGTTGTGTTCCATATTTTTACATAATTATATTTCAACAAGAAATGCAGTTAGACGAAAATAAGCTCAAAGTCAATAGATGACAAAAAAATCGCAATAGCCACTTTCTTAGATATTGAAGGAGCTTTCAACAATGCCTCAACCAGGTCAATAACCAAGGCTCTAGAAAAGAGAAACGTCCCAGTAACAATATGCCAATGAATCACTGCCTGTCTAGAGAACAGGATTATTTTATCCACTCTAGGAAAGGCAACCATACAGCCAAAAGTTACACGGGGCTGCCCACAAGGAGGAATATTATCTCTAATGCTGTGGTCAGTTCTTGTGGACGACTTACTCAAAATATTGTCCAAAGAAGGCTACCAGTGCCTAGGATATGCAGACGACCTAGCAATTATCGTCAGGGGGTTGATTTGCAGGATCTCAAACAGCTCTAAACATAGTGAACAACTGGTGTAAAAAGGAACAATTGTCCATTAACGCACAAAAAACAACAGTTGTACCATTCACAAAAAACGGGTACTTACAGGTCTAAGACCACTAGTACTAAACAACACAGTTATCCCATTCGTCACAGAAGCCAAATACCTCGGAGTCACATTTGACTAAAAGCTGACGTGGAATCAACATCTCAAAAAACTCACACATAAAGCTACAATAGCTCTCGTAAGCTGTAGAAGAATATGTAGGAAAAACTAAGGTCTAAACCCCAAAATGACCATATGGTTACACAAGGGTAATAAGACCCATGATAACCTATGGCGCAGTGGCGTGGGTAACCGAAACTGCGCAGGCAAGTGCAATAGGCCAACTCACTAGCATTCAGTGCCTTGCCTGTCTAAATGCTACTGGGACCATGCGCACTACGCCGACCGCAGCAATGGAGGTATTATTAAATCTCACGCAACTGCACATCTTCATACAAGGAGAAACCAGGTCAGTTATTTACAGGCTAATGCAGGGACAAAACCCAATAAGCCAACTACATAGCGCCGACCACACAAGGCTATATCAACAAGTAAAAAGGGATATTCTAGCTTTGCCTACTGATACAGCCATAACCACTGATACAGCCATAACCACATACAAATTTGAAAGAAACTTTCAAATTCAAATACCAGCCCGAGAATCCTGGAAACAGGGACCTCCCGTACAGGCTGAACTCGTCTGGTACACAGACGATTCAAAAACCAAGGAAGGAGTCGGTGCTGGAATCTATGGACACAAGTCGAAATCAACGATTTCGCTGAGCTTAGGAAAATATGCAACAGTGTTCCAGGCTGAGCTAATATCCATACAATACTGTGCAAGAGAAATATTAAATCAACAAGTATCAGGCAGAATTATTGCCATATACTCTGATAGCCAAGCAGCTCTAAAGGCAATTCTCTCGCCAGAAATCAAATCACGACTGGTGAAAGACTGTTTAGAAGACCTGACAGAGCTAAATAGTCAAAATAAGGTGACCTTAGCCTGGGTTCCAGGCCATGAGGGGTATCAGGGCAACGAAAAGGCCGACGAATTAGCCCGAGAAGGCTCAGATAAGGTCATGACAGGCCCAGAACCCTTCTGTGGAGTTGCTAAGGCATTGTGCAAGGCATCCATTAAAGAATGGATGCAAAAAGAGTCTCAGGAATGGTGGAACAACTATCCAAGACTGAGACAGGCCAAACAATTCATCAAGGAACCATCGGCCAAGTTCACGAAAGACCTACTGGATCAAAAGCGTCAAATCGTTAGGATAACAGTAGGCCTTCTTACTGAACACTGTCGCCTCAAAAGGCACATGAGTGTCATAAATCCAGCAGAAGAAGCAACTTTGTGCAGGTTCTGTGAAGAAGAAGAGGAAACATCATTCCACGTCCTGTGCCAATGTGAAGGCCTGGCTGGAATGACATTGGGTGAAGAAAAGCCAATTACATGCAACTACATGCGGGAGCCACTGTCAAAGCTACTAAGTCTAATAAAAAAGACCAGGCTAGACGACATACTCTAAAACAAACGGAGTCCCACAATAGATCTGAAAAGGTCGCGGTGGACAAGGACAAATAACGTCCAACTCCTAATGTAATCTAATCTAGCCCATATTATTGTCACCATATGTATTGTTTACAAATGGTCTAGGCCGGTGCAATATTTATTTTGTTTAACGTCTTAAATTTAAATGCAAGTTTAGCTTCCATTTTTTTTGTAAATGCAAGCGATACCATCATTTGAGTAAAATTCTCACCGCTACATCAGTCTTACACTGTTTATCAGTACCTCTAGCATTTATAGATAGCACATATTTCTATAACTTCAAATTCATTAAGGACAACCTATAAAACAAAACAATTATTCATATAAAATTGTACTTCGTTCAGAAAATTATCCTTGTTCAAATAAAACATAATAAAATTGTCATACTTCTGAAGTGATTTTTCTTGGCTGGCAATCGCAATCTAAGATTTGTTCAAAGTAAGGTACTTTATATCATTGCCATAAGAGCCCATTTCTTGATGGAACCGAGTCATCGCTCAAATTAAATTGTTTTCCTATAAAAGAGTACCATTTTAAAAATAAAAGTCAATCCAATAAAGTTGCAATAGTTTAATGATGTAATAAAAATCTAACTAAACCGATGAAAGCCCGTTTGTATGCTGACGACCTAATAGTTTATATCAAAGGTAAAAATGTACCTCAAATGATATCCATTTTGCAAGGCTTTTTAGACCGACTTGATGGTCCTTCGAAACAGTTCGAATTTTCAAAATCTAAAACCACTGGTATCGTATTTATCAAATATACTCAAGTTAATGTGCCAGTGTTAAAATTATAAAATAAGAATCTAACTTTTAAATCATCTGTAAAATATTGGGTATGTTATTGAATCAAAAGCTCTATTGAAAGGAGCACATTAAACTACTTAAACTCAAATATATTATATCACATTAATTGCTATATACAGAACATTCATTAGGTCTAATGCGAATTACGATGCTACTGCTTACGCCTCTGCGCTCCTAAATCAACACTAAAGGCGCTGGACGCCATCCACTTTGCTGGGCTGCGAATTGTTTTTTGTGCTTTTTGTGCGTCTCCTATTGAGAGTATTTATGCAGAAACAGGCGAACCTTCTTTACATCAGAAGCAAATGCTACATATATAGCTTCAAACAAAAACAAGCTTCTTTATGACAACACGTTTACAACTAGATGTCTACATCACTTCGATAACAAACCAAATACATCTAAACCTTATTATGAAAGAATTCGAACTTATTTGAAACATCTAGATATTAAGTTCCCTGTAATATTGCCTTTAGACTTCGATCACCCTCCTCCTTGGACAATCAATATATCTGAAATCAATACTTATCTAGGCAAATTCAATAAAATCCGTACTAATCCTTCCATCATAAAAGCTAGTCTAACAATATTAAATAATCGCTACAATAACTTCCAGAAACTTTTTACAGATGCATCTAAAAGTGATGTTGGCGCTGCATTAGTTTTAAATTTAAGCTCCCTCCAAGTAACAGTGTCTT